GCACTTCTGCAAGCACGCATCATGGGCTGGGAACTCGCTGCCGTTTTCATGCTTTTGCGGACGTTCTGAGCAGTAGGATGCTTACCACTGTCCAAAACTAGGACAGATACCCGCTCAACCAGCATAGTCAAATAGATTTTGATGTGTTCGGCGCCACAGATCCGAAGCTGTTGTTCTTCTGTCCAAAATGAGACTTCGCCTGCTTTCACTAGGCAGAGAAAAAGCGTGCCAAGCGCCGAAAGCAACAAGAGGCACTCGTAAAATCTGAATGCTGGGCCTCTAGACTTTGTCTGTAGAGAACAGAGCGTGTTCTTTGTGTTTTGCTTTGTGCTTGCAATGTTTTGTGCTTCGTTTGTTCCGTGTCTTGCATCTTTTCTTTGTGTTCTGTGTACTTTGAATAAAGGTCTGGAAGGGTATTTGTCTTCTTCGAACAGCAGCAGATGTTCGCGCTCGAACCGTTGTGTGCTGCTTTGGACGAATCCGGTTTGCGCATTACAGGTCGAATGCTTTGAGCATGGCATCTGGTCTTCAGCTGCAAGCCATTGTGCGGTCAACTTGCCAAACAGAGATCCAGACGGCTTAGTCATCTTCCGCATCTTTCGGACTGGAACTGTAAGGCTTCACACAAAAGACTGTGACCGTCATGCACATCCACAGCACCAAGCATCCCTTGTAAGTACCATCTGTGCTATGTAAACACATGTTAACTCATCATACGGTCAAGCAACATTGTAGGAGGTGATCAACAGGCTGGATTGCTTTCCATTTTCGAAGAGCCGCTGTGAGGCCAAGTTTCGACGCGATGTGATCTGGAGGGAAGAAGAGACGGTAGGTTGGAGGTGCCAGGTAATCACACAGAAAGCAACTGTGCTAGTCCTAGGAGACGGCGCCTGTTCCTAGTCCTACAATGGTGCAAGTGCAGAACTGCACACGTTGCCACAGGTTCTGTGCACGACCTTCTCTGGACTGTTGAACTTCAATGCCAGACAGCTTGCCAGAGCTTTACATGCCCGAAGATCCGAGTGCTCGCAGTGTTAGGTCACCCGTGCAGTGCGTACGAAAGTTTTGTAAGGGAATAACCCTTGTACCGGACATGTCATGGAGAAGATCTGTCTTGTTGTGGCTTTTCTTACGATCTGCAGTTGTGATTGGGACACTGCAGGGTAGATCTACCTCTGGAAATGCCTGCCTTGTGGAACGCCAGACTTTTACGCTGAGTGTTCGGTGATTCTTGAGACCACAGCTGTACTGTACACATTGTTCGGTTGATCCAAGCTCATCGGCCTTCCTTTTTCAATGGTTAATCACGTTTCGATGTTGGATTGAGGATTTAAGGCTCTTTTTCGGTGCCTTAGTCTGGCATTGGTAATTCTCACGACCGCATCCCTGGAGATGCTCTTGAGTCCGAGTAAATTGGAGGAAGTGGCTGGATTTCTGACTTGTTGGATCTATTTTTCATTGAATCGATTCAGTCTTGAGATCCGTTGTAGTACTGCTGCGAAGTTGAGCTTGATTGATTTGACGAATCTTTCAGATAAAACCCCCCCATACCAAAAATCATTGTTTCAACCCTTTCACCTCAATTGAACTGGTGGTGTTGTTTGAGAGACAGCCGCCGATGCATGGTAACCTGCGGTGGAAAGTGTGCATAAACACTGCAATTCGAGCCGAACATTTTGTGTTTCGAGCTCGGCCAAACTATTTGGCTGGAAATTGGCGGATGAGAAATTTCACGACAGTATTCGTGGTCTGGAGTGTACTTCCAGGAGCTTGCTGACGCTCCTGGAAGTCAGCTCGCACGGTACTGAGTTTGGAAGAAGTGCTGGCAGATCTTCAAGATTTGCGACGGTGTTCCCGAACAGCAACTCAAAGAAGGGGCTGAATGCCTCGCAAACTCAGTGATGCTGTCCGGGTTCAGTTTTGCTGGGCGGCTGGAGATTCTAGAACCGATACCGGCAGCGTAGCTTGGGACCCACGGTGAGTTAGCGGCACTCGGGAGCATTGTTATCTCATTTTTTTTGTTTTTTGGGCGGGAAGGGTGGAAAATCGATGCTGCCGATTTTGGGTTGTTGGCCAAAGCTAAAATGTCAGGTCTTTCGAGAACCGATTGGTATGACGATCTTTGCGCGCAGACCGCGCTGCACAAGAGAGAGGTCGTAAGACGACGCCCGTGCATTGCCAATCGTGGACATGTTTTGATGGAGATCAGTTCATGCTGCAAATGCAATGAAAGTGTTTCTGTTGTGTTTTTCTTTGAATTAAACCGAGCCTTCTGCCACTTTTGCGCATGCATCAGGTGTTTCTCTGCGCGAAGAAGGCAGTCGATTGTACAGGAAGACGTTCCCATACTTTCCCCACTTTTTGCAATACCCAATCCTGCAGTATGCCTTGCACGGGCCCGTCTTGAGAATTGAACCTAGTTATTGCGTGGACGATGTCTGGCAGAACTCAATCGAACGCCGCTGCTTGGCTCCAGCGCACGAAGTCTTCCGTTTGGCGTGCGCTGTCCGGAAATCGTTGAACGTATCCACTTATCCGTGTTTGAAATGAAGCAATTCCTTGGGCAATGGCAGTCGTGCTGGCTCATGATGTGGGCTACGTTTTCCGTGGCGTCAGCTATGAAAACTGCGCAGGAGTTGAGCACCAACTCGTCGCAGGCAGCGATTGCTGTGCATTCTATGGCTGTGCAGACTGCTCTTGTGGCCCGCTCCTCTCGCTCGAAGATGTCGGTGGGTGAGAACACCGATTTCACAAGTGCTGACGAAGAGCTCGACGCCGTGGTGTCAGCGAAGTTCTTGGGAGACGTTGTTGAAGTGGCAAGCTCCGCTGGCAGCACGCTGGCATCAGCAGGCATGGCCATAGGCAGCGCCATCGGCAATGCGGCCGTGGTTGTCGGGAATCATGTCGTAAAAACCGCAGAGACCATGTTTGAAAGCTTGCCCGGTCCGATCCAAGATGCCGCGAATAGCATCGGCAACGTGGCGTTAGGTGCGATCAATGCAGCGGTCGATGCAGGAGAGATGGTGGCAGCTACCACTGTAAATCTTGCAGGGACGGCGCTGGATCATGCAACAAGGTCCCTGGAGGAAGGGGCAAAGCTTTCCAGCAAGGTTGGCAAGTTCATCGCGGACAAGGCTGCGGCACTCGGTGGGGAGATTGCCAAGCTTGGGCCGTTGGCTGCAGGCTTAGCCTCTGCAGCCTGGGACCAGATCAAGAAGTTCGTCAACTGCCTTCGTGAACAGTTTTCGCTGTGTTCAGTGTTGATCGGTGATCGTCGGGAAACACAGCTCAGGTCTTCAGGGGGCATCTGGGCCTTCTCTGGATCCCTTCTTGTGCTTTAGAACTACTGACAGTAGAGTCAGTAAAATGCCCGATGCCATCATCTTTTCAAGACCCGCAAGCTTCAAGCAAGACCATTGAGTTCTCCATTCCCGAACACCTGGAGAGTTTTCCAGCTGCCCAGGTATGATGGCTCCTTGCATCCCGGGCCACGGCGCAACTGGAATGCATGGAGCTTGCGAGCCGGGCCAGCGTTGGGAGTGACGTTTCTCGGTTTGTGAGAGGTATTTGCCATTGCTGAAGACCCTACACCCTAAAAGCAGCATGCAATCCCCAGTTCGTCATTTCTTTTCGTGCAAAGACGGCATTGCCAACACCGAACAGGTTCGGGGACAGGTTCATACAGCTGGGGGAGTTTCGAATCGGTGCAGCTGGGCGGCAGATTAGTATCCTTTTTTTAAAGTCTCCCTCTCCCCTTGTCTCTCTCCCCTTGTCTCTCTCTCTCTCTCTCTCTCTCTCTCTCTCTCTCTCTCGCTCTCTCTCTCCCTCTTCTCTCTTTGGCTTGGTGGTCAAAGCCGGGCCGCTCAACGGCGGTGGCAGCCCAGGCAGATGACGGGCACGTGTACGTGACCCACAGGGGCTACAACAAGAGCCCTCAGATTTTTGGATCTGACGGCCATCCGGTCCCTGGGACACAGCATGCCTACGCCGATCGGGTCATTGGATCGTCGTGGAAAGCGTTCGCTTTTTCTCACTCTCTTTTTGTTTCTAAGGGTGTGCAAGTTGAACCCAAACTCTAGACTGAGACCCTGTTGCCTAGGTCAACGATCGGTATGCGCAGTGGCACTGTGGTGGCATCCAGGAAATTCTTGGGACTTGCCCCGGAATGACAGCAGGCCTGACTTGCAAAGAGGATCCCACCCCTAACACCTTGTGGAGACCGGGTGTTGGGGCTCCTCCTTGGAACAAGCTTGATACTATGTGAGAGAGGGAGAGAGAGAGTTCGGCAGGTGACGGCTTCCTGCAAATTGGCGACTGGCGGCTCGCGGCACTACACTCGCATTACTTCACATTCTCGCACCGCAGCCTCCACACTGCCGCGATCCACACTTCCGACGGGCACACCCACTCTGGCCCGCGAAGGGACCATCACAGCTGGGACCGTGAGCCCCACATAGCAAGCAGCATAAAGTTCGGAGATCGCTTTATCGAGTTTGGCCATTGGTGGCGCTTGGGTGAATGGGATGATGGGCGGCATCTCGTCCTCTCCCACCGCAACAACAGAGCTCCGATCATTTGGCGTAGCTTGGTTTGCAGTTGCAGCGCCGGTTCCGGTGGAGCACATGACACATGAGGTAGAAAGGCGTTTGGGCATAAAAGACACACCATGTCTCACTTCTCTCGATTTCAGGCGATGACGGCACCGTGCGCCACGGACCCCATCGTGGCTGGAGTCTGTTTGGACGAGCAGTTGGGGCAGCATCGGGCATCGCCTTCGGAAATGGCTTCGTGCAGATTGGCAAGTGGCGAGCCGCTCGGTCAACACCGTCGGGATTATGACTTCTTGAGCCCTTGTCAACTTGTCGCCAGCGAAGTAAGCAGCTAAGCAACTTCTCTTGCTGTTTACAGTGAAACACATCCCAGATTGGAGATGTGAACGGAGTTCACTTCTCCATCGCTGTGAACGGCAAAACGGCAGAGATCATGATCAGCAACGGTGGGCGACGCTATGGCCCCCGTTCAGATTGGACCACCTTCGGTCGTCCGATTATGGATTGCCGTGTCGTGCCAGATGACGTCAATTCCAACGTCGTGGCACTCAAGCCACCTTTGACTGAGGGTCTGGAGTGCGACTACTTCTACAACCAAGCTCAGTGCCATGTCCCGGACCTCGGAGCTTTGACCCCGGCTCATACAGACGTTCTGCCGAACATCTACATGAACCATGGCAGCTTCCCTCACGTCAGGCAAACCAACAACTTCTGCATCAGGTGCAGCGGCTATGTGAGCATAACGCACGATTACAGGTTCTACACCGCCTCCGATGACGGCTNNCTCCTGTACCTGAACGGCGAGAAGATCGTCGACAACAACGGCTGCCATCCTGAACAGGAGAGGTCGAGCCATCACAAGTCCCTTCTGACCGGTTTCCATCACCTCCTGGTCGACATGTGCGAGACGTGTTGTGGCGAGAATCTTAAGATGCGGTATGAGGGACCGGATACCGATGGCTCCAAGGTCGCGGTGCCTGCGTCGGTTCTCAAACATGAGCCCAAGGCCTTTGAACCCGGTTTGGAGTGCGAGTACTTCTACAACCAAGCTCAGTGCCATGTCCCGGACCTCGGAGCTTTGACCCCGGCTCATACAGAGGTTCTGCCGAACATCTACATGAACCATGGCAGCTTCCCTCACGTCAGGCAAACCGACAACTTCTGCATCAGGTGCAGCGGTTTTCTCACAACCAGGGCACAGGGCGCTTACAGGTTCTACACCGCCTCCGATGACGGCTCCCTCCTGTACCTGAACGGCGAGAAGATCGTCGACAACAACGGCTGCCATCCTGAACAGGAGAGGTCTAGTCAAAGCATGACACTGGCGGAGGGCAATCACCACCTGGTGGTAGAGATGTGCGAGAGGGCTGGTGGCGAGAATCTTAAGATGCGGTATGAGGGACCGGATACCGATGGCTCCAAGGTCGCGGTGCCTGCGTCGGTTCTCATGCATTCAAAGTGACGCTGCAAGCATAGTGGCACCATTCTCGATTGAGCCGTGTCCGCTTTTTTTTTGCTGCACGCAATTTCACGCTGCAAGATGCTGCAAGCATAGCGGCCCCGATCCGAAACGAGTCAGGGCACCCGATCGGGTGTTTCCAACAACGGCGGGCCGCGTTTTAGGGCTGGCATTGTCCAGTCTGCTTCCCATTTCTGCAGCTGGCCGACCAGCGGCAGCAACCTGCGACTGGCCGCGAAAAGGCGTTGTAGACGTGCCAGCGGCAGAGCCCGGCTTCCAGGGTGATAAAGCTGAAAGCGGTGGCGCTGGCACAAGTGCTGTCGCACGGCTTACGCGTACGACTGCGCTTGTTTGCTGATCTAAAGCGAATCAAACCTTGCATCAAATTCGACATGAGTTCAGGCTAAGCGCTGAAGTTAAGTAAGCACAGCTGTTACGCGGGCTGTTCCGACGTATCTCGACTCTGTCGACGGAATGTTGCTCTTGCCTTTTTTGCGACACGGCTCTGCCCCCTCCCCCCCTCTCAAAAAAAATGGGCCAGCCAGCACGGGCCCAGTCGCCAGCGAGCAGATTCAGGAAGGCCGCCTAGGCCGTTCGGCGCCGCACCCCGGTTGCTAGGAACACTCCTCGCGGCACCCCGCCGTTGGAAACACTCCCGAAAAAGAGGAAGATGATGAAGTTGGGACAGCCCCTCTTTCAATCTACATGGCATTGCTCAGCCTATTCTCTCGACGTTTGCCTTGCCGTCCTGGAAGCCCGAAGCCTCGTCGAGGTTTGAAAGTAGAAGCCATGTCTGTCGTCAGCACAGCCACGTCATTGATTGCTTTTGGTGCAATGCCGGACATGCAGCGTTTGGCCCATGCTCGAACGGGGTTGTTGGATATAGCTCTGCCGCACGATCACCATTGCGAGGTGGATATACCTGTTGTTGAGACGTTGGGTTCGTTAGGTGCTTCCATCATTTTCCTACACTGTTTCTTTCCTCCAACCCGTAGGATTTAGACCTTCATGACAGTCTGTACCACCGCCAAAGGCATGACCAGCTTTAGAACATGCATGTCGTTGTGGTCGTTGAGCCAAAAGTTTCAATTCTGACTTCCGTCAGTTTGAAAGCTAATGGCCAAGGAGGACTTTCGGCGGTTGCCTTTGACCCGAACTCACAGTGCTCTCTTCGTGTTCAGGGTGGGAGTACTTCTTTTTCTCGCCTGGGGGAGAAGCGGTAGCTGGTGGCCAGGCCTAAAACCTTGCACTTTACCCGGACTGCCACCTGTGGCTCTAGGATTTTTTGGGCCTTAGGATACCTCCGCGTCTTGTTTACACAAGAGAGAGATCTTTTTGCCATTTTGGAAAGGAAGCTGGCGTCGACGACGATGGAGGCTGTGCGCCTTTCTCTGGAGCACTTGCGGGAATGACAAGCCACAGTGAATCATATTCCTAGCTGTCAAACACCTGCTCGGTTCAGAAGTGGAGGACAGGTTGGACGAGATCCTCCGAAACCCCATGGCAACTTCATGTTCTCTCAATCTGTCAGGCGGCTTTCTTCAAAAGTCTGTACCTTTCCTCATGGTCTTTGCCTCAGTTGCGCAATGTTTGATTCCGGGCCAACAACTGCTCCTTCTCCTCTTCAGAACTAGGAGTATTCCCTTTGTCAGAGGATTCTACAAGAAAAGCATGCCTGGCCATCCCGTGTATTTCTGCTTGTTCCAGACGAGTAGCCAGAATGGGTTTCAGTCAATCTCGGCGTTGGCCGTGAACTGAACTTCGATTCGTAGGTGGATGAGTGCACAGGTCCATTCGGTCAAGATTCTGAAGAACTCCTGGGCCAAATCGTACGAGTCAAGACCTTTCTCTCACGTTACACTTGCAGGTGTTTGGCGGCTGCATGTCTGCAGTCATTGCCATGGAATATGTGCTGAAGGCACGGGATGTATTGCCCAGCATCTCAATCTCCAAGCACTCAACCGTGACCTTGCATTGGTTGCCCTTAAAAACCGCGTAGAGGCAAAAGAAATCGGTGCCCGGCTGCTGTTGAGTTGGGAACTGTAGCGACGACGAGGAGGATGGTGATGATGATGATGATGGTGATGATGATGGGGCTGTGATCAGGGATGACCATCATTACGTCAGCATCATCATCACCATCATCAAAGCAGGGCGATTGTGATGTCGGCATCCGCCAGCATTCTTCGGTATCATCATCGTCATTCTCACATCATCATTGACTTCATCCTTCATGAAAGCGCACTGGAGTCCCCAAGTCGATGTCCAGAACACCCACAGATCGCTCCTGCTGGAACTTCAAGCTCTCTACCCGAAGTCGAAGCCTTTCTTGGCAGGTTGCAAAGCTTTCGTTACGAGACGAGAAGTTTGTTAAAAACACCCCATACATCCCCCAAGAACACCGTGCAAATCCTTCTAGAACCTTTACGTACAAGCCGCCACAAAACCCCCAAGGCCCCAAAGCCTAAACATGGAGGCGAATCCCCAAGCGGGCAACCTACTGAGCCTCTCCGAGCATGCGACCTCAGCGCGTAGGCTTAAAATACTGATGTATGTATGTATGTATGTATGTATGTATGTATGTATGTATCTCTGTATCTCTGTATCTTGTATCTCTGTATGTATGTGTGTATGTCTGTATGTCAATATGCGTGTATGTGTGTATGTAATGACAGAGATAGATAGATAGATAGATAGATAGCTAGGTAGGTAGGTAGGTAGGTAGGTAGGTAGCTGGGTAGCTAGGTAGCTAGGTAGCCAGCTAGGTAGGCAGGTAGGTAGGTAAGTAGGTAGGTAGGTAGGTAGGTAGGTAGCTGGGTAGGTAGGTAGGTAGGTAGGTAGATAGATAGATAGATAAACTGATATGCTGATATACATATAAGCTTGACTGGGGTTTGCAGGATGGTGGACTTCAGGGTTTATGTGTTTTGGAGTTTGGGGGGCTTGGTTTTGAGGTTTCGAGGGTGGAAGGTTACGTCTACGGGATAAGGGTTCGAGGGATTTGGGGCGGATTATGCAACTGGTGTGGGCATGCAGGGTTCAACTGCTCAGGTGGATGTTGCTTTTTGAGCGTTATTCGGTAACCAACCCCGCATCCCAGAGTTCCACGCTAAACCGAGAACCCTACGCAAAACCGAGAACCCCGCATCCCAGACTGTGGATGCACAGGCTAGAAGTGATGCTTGAGTCACGGTGCTTAGTGGCCGGTAGTGTTCCAGGTTCGGGTTTTATGCTGCATTAGATTTTCCTCAAGTACACTACTGTCAAGGAATGTGTTGAAGGTCCAGGCCGTGTGGGTAAGGCTAGTAGGGGCTTGGCATTGGAGATGCAAGGTTCAAGGTGTTGCGTGGCCCAAAGCCATAAACACTGAACCCCAAGGACTCTCAACTCAAAAAAAGCAGCTACCCTAAACCCTTAATTCTTAACCCTAGAGCCCATCCCTGTCAAATGGCTTCGAGGGCTTACCGAAGTGGAAACCCCGAAGCCGGGAACAGATCCTCATCATCACAGCCACTCGTTCCCTTATGTAGAGTTCGACATTTTTCTGGAGAGCACACTGAGGTTTGCATTTGTGCTGCTTCAAAGCCTTCCAAGCCGGCTAGAGGCCAAAGACGTGCTGTTCTTTGCATGGACTCTTCACCGCACGTCCCTGGTACTTCCAGCAGCTTCTCTTATGCCACATCATGGGTGAGGGCTTGCAAACGGCTCACGCCATGACGTTCCGCACGCCCCAACTCCGAAGCTTGAAACCTCAAATGTCTCCAACCGCGAATTCCTTCCATGCTGGAGCTTCACTCTGAATCTCGACCCTTCAAGGGCTCAGTTCTGTGTGTCTCAGGACGCTTAACTTTCAGATCCCTCTGCAAAGCTTGGCGATAGCAAGAATTTTGTGGCCTCCTATTCCTGCTCCAGACTTATGCACCTTTACGACTGCAGGTGAATGCACATCAGTTTCGTCGAGACGCATGGAGTCAAGCAACCTTAGGCCACGCACTGCTGGCTGCTCTTGCCGAGAACTCAGCGAGAACAAACGCGAATCCCTAATTAAGGAATATACTTTTATAGGGGCCTCGACATCATGATTTAGGGTATATTAGTGGTCTATTAAAAAATTGCTTTACGGCTCTTGGAAGCTTCTTATGAAGAGCACCTGGAGTCAAGTTCATGGGTTAAAGGCCTGGTGCCTTTCCGGTGGGCTTGGGGTGGACAGGAAAAGGGTTTGCAGTGAGCCGTGCAACCCGGACTTCGACCCCAAGCCCCAAACAGTGAGCTTGCGAGTGATCGTCTGGGGGCATGCTCAACAGTAGTATCCCCCCCCACTTGCTTCTCGTCTGAGCTTATCATGATCTCCGTTGTGATTCGGGGTGCTAGTGCTTGTGGAAGAAGAGCAAAGAATCGGATTTGGGGGAAGCGTACTCGCACGTAATCGCAGCAGTAATGGCTGGTGCTGCTGCTAGTACTATCACTGTTCTGCCGCTTTTGGTGTCAATGACGGTGCCACGCTTCTGCTGCTGTTGCTGCTGCTGCTGCTACCATTACTACTGCTACTACTTTTACTACTACTACTACTACTACGACGACGACGACGACGACTACTACTGCTGCTGCTGCAACTGCCTCTGCCTACTCTAAGTGGTTGGTTTGGATGCAGGGCAGGCTAGCACTTGAAACCGAAGCCCCCCCCTAGCACCTCTAAACCCTTCAGTCCCACGTCCTAAACCGTAGCTCCAAAATCCACAACCTAAAGCCCTAAGCCTGTACCCCTGAAGCCGTGCAGCTGCCCGATTCCGTGTGCCGTGAGGGCAAGCTTCGGCTGACTCCGCTGAAGATGCCGCTTTCTAGCCAGACGCCGAGCTTTGGGATTTGGGCCTACGGTCCCCGCCTGGCCAGAGGGCCCTGGGGGGGTTTCTTGTGAATTTGTGAGAGCGGAGGTAAGTTTGAATGTTCATAGATGTCTTTTGTCCAGTTTGAGAAGTATCTTCATTGACCGAAAAAGTTCCCTA